ACCAGCTTTAAGTGTCTTTAGCTCAGAGGAGTTTTGTAATAACAAAATTCCTCAAGCAGCAATGGCACAGAGGGCTTACATATGTAAGAAACATATTTCAGTTTGCTTTGCCGAATACTAACAAAGTTCTTATTCACTTTACTCTTGAAAGGTTTGGCTTTTGGCACTTTTTCCTAAATTTTCTCCATTCTTTATTGCCTGACTGATTTATTTCCTGTGCTGTGAGAGTTACGGAGGGAAGCAGAGTTGCTTGGCAGCGTGATGTGGTATTGCTGAACTCAGCTGTTCGTGGCTCTCAGCAGATGTTTCTGCTTCAAAGGCAGGGTGGGAAAAAAATACACAAGCACAAATTCCTCCTCCCCAATCCTGCATCTTTTGTCTCTTATCTTCCACTGCCTCAAAATCACAAGGAAGGCTCCGTCACAATAGCTGCTAAACCATCCAAACAGCACCACACAAAAATAAGAGCTGACCTTGCCCCAAAGCAGATTTAAAGTGCAAAGAGGAAATGAGCACAAGTGTCATTCCATGAATGGGCTGCATCAGAAGATTCTCGTGGAGGACTTCACTGTGAATTACAGGTTATTAAAATGGGAAGCACTGGGGACTGCTGTGTGCAAGAGGCCAGCAGGCAGCAGCGTGGGGCAGAGGGAGCCAGTGGCATGGGCAGCTCTTCCTGCTGCATTTTCCAGGAGTGCACACAACTGCCTCACGTTCAGCCAGCTGCCAAGCAACACCTCCAGGCTCTTCTTCCAATTTTTCCCTTGAATTATGGAGGCTCCATTCTGCTCAGCTGAAGGCATTTAATGCCCCAGCCTTTTCCTCATTCTTTGTCATGATGTTTCCCCCCACATCCAATGAAGAATGGAGATTCTCCTGAGCTCTCCTTTGTTCATCTATCTATATACAATGCCTGCTCATATGTGAATTTCTGGTAAATGAATGGAAACTGTTTCTGTTTCAGGGTTTAATGGTGTAAGACATTCATGGCTAGTGTCTTCCTCCCAAAGTATCTCTACAGTCTGTACAGCTCTGTCCCTGCAGACACAGATGTGTAGAAATTCCCAATCACCTACAGCAGTGGCATGTGCCATCTCAGCTCTGCTCCTGCCTCGGTTATCAGTCAAAAGGATAAACAACTGGCATGAAAAAATCCTGACCCACAAGCACTAAACCTCTGAATCCTTGTGAGCATCACGCTCTGTGCTCAGGCTACAAGGTTTTGAGGTCAGCAGGCACCACTGCCACTCTGCTGAGCTCTGCAAACCACTCTGACCCAAAACTGCCACAGCAGGATGACCCAGATTCTGAAATAATTAATAACATCTTCCCTGATCATAATGTGTGTCTGCTCTTGTCTGTTCACATCCTGGGCACAGGCTGGCTGTGTTCTGCTACAGGCAGACACACTCCACATGGCTCACACTTTTTCAAGGCTGACTCATGTTGTACATACACACTTTACTTTTGTTTTTCAATCACAAGGGAATTTATTTCACTGACATCCCTTGGCAGCATATGGCGCTACCAGACAGAGCAGGGATCTGCACAGAACTGCAGCAGCTTTGTTGCTTTCCTCCACGTGCTAATGATATGAAAAAACTTAGAGCCTGCTAACATCCTTACTGTTTTCATGTGCACGCAGGATACCCAGAGAGCGCTGAAACACAGCCACAACAACCCCAGCCCGACAGAACGTGCACACACGTGGCACACGAGAGGGAATAAGTGACTGTGACACGGCCTGAAACATCAACACAACATCTGGAAGCACTCTTCCCCAGGCTGCCTCTTTATCAGACAGATGGCTGCAGAGCCGTGAGCCCACAGGCCTCTCCAAAGGTTCAAGGCCAAGAGGATAAAGTGCTACATCACAGCACTTTTCCATTATGTCAGTTTTTCTAAATCTCTCTGTTCTCCCACACTTCTCTGCCTGGCTGACAGAAACCAACAGCTCTGGGTGACTCTGTGCCCCACAGACCCCCAAATGACAGATCCCCACAGCTCTGGGTGACTCTGTGCCCCACAGACCCCAATCCCCACAGCTCTGGGTGACTCTGTGCCCCACAGACCCCCAAATGACAGATCCCCACAGCTCTGGGTGACTCTGTGCCCCACAGACCCCGATCCCCACAGCTCTGGGTGACTCCAGGATCAGGGACAGCAGCCCCAGAGCCGGCTGAGGGCTCCCTGCTCCAGGACACCCCCGGTCTGCAGCAGCAAGAGGAGTTAGGCCTGGCTCAGACTCAGTTCTGAGCTCCTGACCCTCAGTTTAGGATGCTCTGGTGCTTTGGCAGAGAAGCCAGCCTAAGAAATTCCCCGTACCCTCCTTGCTCCTGCCTTCACCTGCCTTCCTCATCCTCACAGCTGGCAGCAAGCCAGCAGGTGGAGGCTGCTGTACTGAAGTTTGCTATATTCAAACAAACAAACACCACAAATACCCCTTGCTCTGCCTTGTGGCAATCCAGAATAAACTACCCAAAAACCAGGAGCCCCTGCACCGAGTGTGGCACCTCTGAAATCAACCACACCAGCCTTAGGCTGGAAGCAGAGGCAATGCTGAGAGATGGAACTGGTTCCAGCAGTAACCACAAATATCCTTTTGTCTACCCCAAGCACACACATCAAACCTCCAGAAGCAGAAACAACAAAGGAAAACAAGCAACCAAGCAGTTGTCTAAGCCTTGTTTTCACTAATCAACACTGTTGTTACCCTCATCAATAGCTACTTGAATCTCAGCAGAAATTGCATTATGAGGCACACAAACATTGCTGATTTCAAGCTGTTTGTAGTTACTTGCCATAGTTGCAAAGCCTTTTTGAGTAATTTTAAGCTAAGCTCTGGCTCCTGGCTTTTGCACCACAAAGTATTTCTTAAAAAAGTAAAGAAGCATGACCCACTTAAATTCTCAAAAGGTAATGGTAAACAATTACTGATGTGATGTATCTCAAATATCTCTTGTGTTCTATTATTTATATCATGTGAAAGGTGTATTAGCTGCTGTTGCATCCAGAATCAAATTGCTTCTTTCAAAGTGCTTACAGTCTAATTATATCCATGCACTAATGACAGAGGAATGTGCAAGAAAGGAAAAGCTGGAAACAAAAATCAGTATTTTTCTTGAGTCTGGGCACTTGTCTCCTGGGGTATGAAGGGGAAAGAGCGCAATGGCTCTCTGTGGTGCAGCAGGGAGATTCCTGAGCAAACACAGTGGAAAACTCCTTCTACAACATGAATTAACCAACATTATTCTGAGCTGAGTTTGCTGCAGGCAGGATGAGGCAGTGCTGGTGCTGGAAGCACAGCCCTGCAGCTCACAGCCACACTGCCCCATCCCCTTCACAACCCACAGGGCTCAACCAGCCTGAACAGAAAACTCCCACTGGGGACTCACAATTCTCCACCAAATTAAATGAGCTTAACAGAGTATTTGTGCTCTGTGCAGAGGGCTCCAAGTGACACTCAGAAACTCAGAAATGCCCACTACAGAGTGTGCTTTCCCTCAGGTTTCCTACCCAGTTCTTCCCTGTACACAAACATTTCACTCAAACCGAGGCTCATCACGCTTTCAGAAGACAGCAACTATTTACATGCACAAATGAGAGAGGCATTAATTAAAACATTGAGTTTTATTTGCATAATTAGTGCCAAAAATATTTTTATGGGTTAATTAGACTTCATGCAAATTGGATTGTGAAGATTTAATTTGGGGTTTGATAACCTGACTATTATAGTTCTGCAGTTGCAAATCTGCTCAGAGCTACATGCTGTTTTAAAGCTTTGTCCCCCCTTTCAAACTGGTTTAGTTTTTACTCCTGGCAGCCTCAAATGATGCATTTTTCTTTTCCCTTTACCAGTCCTGAGGTAGGTTGACCCTGGTTGGATGCCAGGTGACTGCTAAAGCAGTTCCATCTCTCCCCTCCTCAGCTGGACAGGGAGAAAAAAAATAGAATGAAAGACTCAGGGTTGAGATAAAGACAGGGAGAGGAGATCAGTCACCAGGTGGAAATACATTGACTCTGACAATCAGCCTGTGTGAGCTGCTCATGGCAAGAGGAATTTCTACACATGTCCAATATTTGGGCACAGAAAACAGGAGTTAAAACCTGCTCAGGTTCTCTGTGCCTGAAGGTGTAATGCAAAGCAATAACCCACCCAGCACCCACCAAAGATTTCATGTTGCTCCTCAATGAGCCCAGGTTTGTGGCTAACAATAATCCTGGAGCTGGCCAAGCGTTGTTTGGATCTGTGCAGTGGGAAGCTCTCTGCATGGATTAATGTACAGCAGCATCCTGAGAGTTCAGTGTGATACCTGGGAAGAGCTAATTTCCACTGCAAATACACAACTTTCCTGTGTGCCATGGAAGACAACCCTAATTATGGGGACAGCCCTGCTTTTGTGCTGTGCAACAGCCAAGTCCCCAAAAACACAGCAAAGAGGGAGGCAGCAGTGGCAGCCCAGTTCATCCCAGTGCTCCCCACTGAGCTCTGCCTCAGACTGTCACCCAGCAGGCCAAAGGAACCTGCAGTTCTGGAAGAATCCACTCTTTTCCAAAGGGGATTCTCCTGTGTTACACACTGGGAGGTTTGCATTACCCTGTGCAGTGGCTCACTGTGGAAGAATTTACTGCTTGCTCCATGAACCAGCCACAGAGGCTGTGATATGTTCAGAGAAACAAGGTCAAAACTATCAAATCAAAAAAATTAAAGCTCCAGTAAAACCCTTTGAAATTAAGAATATTCATATTGCTGCCAAAACGACACCACCCCCCAGCCCCAATGTAGGTCTCTTGTATTAATTTTTCCTTTGAACTGATGAGTTTTATCACCCGTTATAGATCAGCAGATGGTACCACAGTTAATGTGAGTGTCTCCAGATTTCCAGGCTACAGGTTTAATAGCTGTGAGCAGTGCTAATATGAGCCTCAAGTCTTTCAAGCCCTGAATGGTATCATGGACATAAATGAGTTTAATGTGCCGAGAAGATGAGGTTTCATACCTGTTCCTTGAACTTGGGGCTATCCTCTGACAAATAACTGTAGTGGTCGAGTGCTTGCCACCATTGCCCACCTCTTGTTTCACGTCCCACTGCCGGGGGTCACTTGTCCTTGCACCGAGAATGTTCACACCCTTCTTCACCTTTGCCCTGTTGGAAACAGCAATTGGGAAAGGTTTACAAGCCTCATTCAGGACTGGGATGTTTGGATGCAGCTCAGGCACGGGGATGTCAGCAGAGCAGTTTGAAGGTAAGTATCAGATGTACTCTAACCCAGCAGTAAACAGGAGAGGGAGACCATGAATGCAGAGCTATGGCCACATCACAGTTTTTGGACAGGGCCCTTTTATGTTCTGCCAACAGCAGGCTGGACTTAGGAGTCAAACTGAACCTGTAGGAAAACCTGCACTCAAGGTTCTTTATTCAGGCAGTATTTTTTATTGAAAGAAGCCTGTCCCAACACTCTGGAATGTTTGTCTGTATCAAGTCAAAATTGTACCTCATCACTGCACAGAGGAATGCTCCACTGGAGGCCTTTTAATAACCCAGTTTTATTCCAGATGATATTCTTCTGGATATCAGTGGTTGTTGCTCCTCTGCCTGACAATTTCATCTTTCCTGCTGATTCCCAAGGAAACTCCTGTTTGAAATCTCCAGCCTGGAGAGAATACAGCTGTTGATTAAGACAAGACTTTGTAACCCAGAGATGTTCTTACAGGACACAGATTTCTGCCACTCTCAGCTGTTACAGCCTGTGGAAAAGTTACCTGTATTTTTCTAGCGATGCTAATAACATCAGCAACAACTGCGTGGAAGGCTAATTACAGACCACTTGTTAATTAAAGAGCATTTGTACCATGAATTCCCAGCAAAGGTGGTGTTTGGGTGCAGAGTGTTGAACTGCTGATGCTCAGCTCTGTCACGAAGCACCAGGAATGAATATGAGGAGTGAGACAGCCCTGCCCTCCTGAAGAGTGAGGGACAAGAGGATGAGGAGGGAGGAGGATGCCACTGAGGAGTGCCCAGCCCTGGGAGCAGTTTGGCCTCATCCTCAGCTGACTCCAGTGAACACCACAGCTCACCACAGCCTCTCCCAGCAGGGACTGGCTTCACCACAGCACAGAGGCTGAACTTAAAATCACAGCTTTCTAAAATATTCATGCAACACAAAATGTTAGTTACTGAGCAGAAATCACCATCTAGCAAGACGCTGCTATCTTCCTGACATTTATGAGGACTTGGCCCCTAAGTTTCTTTAAAAACCTGTTTTTTGCATCTTCAGCCAATAAAACACTCGAAAGCTGTCGTTAGGAGTGACTGAGAGTACCTGTCTTCTTGCAGTTTTTCAACAAAACACAATTAATTTAAGGTATTCAAGAAGAAAAATTGGAGTTTTTTTCTCAGTATAAAAGCATAAATGATTAATTCTCTCATTTGTAACATGAAACACCGTGGAGCTTTACAGAATCCTGTCCTGCTCTTGTAAAAATAGCCTGATGAATCTCTCATGCCTTCAGCTGAATTACTCAAGCAAAAGCAGGAAGGCAAAGGAAGAATCAAATTCATTCCTGAAGGTTCATTAAAGCTTTAGGTCCCATTAAGTTCTCCAGTATATTACAGTTCAAATAAATGAACAATAAATAAATGTTTCAGTGTTTATAAGATCTTGCCAATCTTGAAGCTGTGTAAATCCAGCAGTATTTCTACAGCAATCTGTATTTTAGGAGATGTTTGGATGTATTTTAGGACACTGCAATTTAGCAACTGGAGAGAAGTAAAAACTCATCGTTTATACTTTGTTCAGCTGTTCCTTGAGACAGGCTCTGAAATGACAAAACATTGCTCAAAATGAGTGGTGTTTGGATTTTCAGCAGAATTACAGCTCTGTCAGCAGCTGCAAATTGCTCTTTCCACCATGGAGCTCGACACAGTCGATACCTGGGCTCCTGCTAATTAGGATGGGCATTGTGGATGGCCAGGGTTAGTGGTCAGATACACTGCCAGAGGACCACACCACGGCTGCAATGCCATTTTGTTAATTAACTATAGGATGGGGCATTAAGTTGAGTGGTTTTCACATATGCCATTATATAAAACCCATTAAAAAAAAAATTCCATCCCAGGGTAAAGTAGGTTACGTTTAGTGAGAAAAATCAATGTTGTGATTGCACTTAGGACTGGAATTAGGGTATGAACACCCAGAAGATTGAACTTCCGAAATAAATATGCAGAAGCACAATTTGCAACTCTCCCTCTAAAAAGGGCATTGAGTTTTACATAATAAGGTCAATGAATGAATCAGAATTAAGTCAGAAGGAACTGAGCCCCACACAATTCCAAATGCAGTCTGTACACATACGCTACAAATGTTTTCACTCCGATTTTTATTTACTTGGCGTTTGAGTGCTATCAAGGAAAAGTCTATTTAATTACTTACCAAAGATTTGTTGACCTTGTTGGATGTTTGTGATTAAATATTCATTTTTTTTAATCAATAGTGCCAAATTTGTACATAAAAATTTGTAAGTTATAGCACTTCAACCCCAAGACAGAGGACCTGGAGGCCAAATGACTCGACAGTCTCCTGTATTTATCTCACAGTATTTATAAATTTACTGTGTTTACTTAAGGTTGGTGGGTAGGGTGACAATAAATAGAGAGGACAAACAGCTGAAATACTTTGGGTTTCCTCCATGTGGGGCTCCCCACTGCACTTGGGAAGTTCTTTCCCTTTTTGCTTATCCACAAGTAGACCCTCACACAGAGCTCTGTGAGCATCCACCAGCCACACCTTGTCAGCCTGGACTTCACCAGAGCAAAATCCTCCCCTCCAATGTTATTGCCAACAATCTCCTGGGAGTGCCACTGGATCACCCAAAACCAAATATCACAGAATCTAAGGGCAGCAGCTCGCTCCTGTGAGGGTGGTGTGTGTGTGTGTGTGTGCTGGAAGTTAAGCACAGCTTTTGTTCTCCTGCTAAAAGCAAAGCTGGAATGGCAGGATGGAACACAGCCCATCGTTGAGAACAGCGCAGAACAGCAGAGGTCAGCTCCAGCCCTCGCTCCCTCCCTCTCAACACATGGCAGCCACAACGCTGGGAGATTTTCTTGCTTCAACTTCTGAGGTTATTAATGCATAGCACAGGAAATCTCTGCCTCAGCTTTGTCTCAAAATAACTGTCTCTCTTTAAATCTCTCAAATGGAGAATTAAAAGATTCTGCTGGCATGCAGAGCAAGCAGCATCTCAAAGACATTACAGAGAGTCTCCAGCAGCTTACCTAGGAATCATGACTTAATTCGTGTTGAGACCAAGTAAAAGCATTTATTTACTCACACTATCACACAGCAAATGTACAATTTCCAAGCAAATATTTCATTTTCAACTCGAAGCTTTCAGTTATACACAAAGATTTCCATTTAGCAGCTCACCTTCCTTACACGTCAAATCTAGAAATGATGCTTCTAATTAATGCATTCTGATCAACTGCAGATGAAAATCTAATTCTTCCATCCCACTATCCTCAAATTACAAGAAATGTCAGCAGTATTTAGATATAATACTGTACAGCTATTAAAGACAGCAACCAAAAGGCAATTGAATCAGCAACAGCCAGAGCTGGAGATGGGACTTATGATTTAAGGAGCTCAAATTACAGCTTCCTACTCCAATTGAAGTTTTAATCTTGTGGAACTTCTATGGCCATGGAAGGGTTCTGCTACCTGCAGCGGTGCTAGAGAGGACAGACTGCCCAGCGCTGCCACCAGTTCTTCCCATGCAGGATTGTGCTGATGTGTGCTGATGTCAGAGAGCATCTCCGCTCTCCCTGCAGAGGGATTCCCGCTCGGAAGGCAGGTCCAGGCGGAGCTGCCGTGTCTGATGTGCTGTGCTGGGGACAGGCAGCTGCAGAGGAAGGCTCTGAGCTCCAGGCACGCCGAGCTGGCAGCAGCAGTGGCACAGGGCAGGGGAAGGGCAGGAGTGCGGCTGGAGCAGAGCAGGGATGTGCCCGGCACAGGGACCGCTCCAAGCACACTGTGCTCCAAGGTCTGCCCAGCACCCTGGCCACAGGGCTGCTCCAAGGAACAACCAGCTACATCAACACTCAGCTGCTGTGCTCAGGGAGCCCCAGGGTGTCTGGAACAGCTGCCCAGCCTCGGAGCTGTTTCCTGTTAGGCTGGCCATGGTCCGAGCAGGGCTCCAGCCACAGCTCCGGCTCTGGGCACTGTGCAGAGCTCCCCAGAGGATGCTCCTGCTCCGCAGTAAATCCCGGCTCCTTACCCTGCCAGGCTGCAGTTTCAGCTGAACAAATGCTGACCCCTTTTGGTCAGTCTTCTCCTGAGCCTCGCTGCTTCTCGATACTCTGCCAACCCTCCCTTGCAAGCCCTTGACTTCTCTGGCTGTAAAGGTCGCGCTGTAAGAAATTCCCTCGGTGACTCTCCTGAAGCCCAGGGAAGCTCTCCCGCTGGCTTGCTGCCAGACTGCACGTTACAAGAAGTCTCAAAACTTCATGAGTTCTGCCAGAAAAATTTCAGCTTCTTCCTGCCATGATTTACATTCACTCCTCTCCTCCTTTGCTCCCAGAGTAAATCAGGAGATTAAAGCCAGCTGCAGGAACCCATAAAACCCAGGCAAGAGACTGACCACAGCAATTAAGCAAGATTTGTTTTATTAAGTAAATATGTTTCCTTTCATCTTTCTGTACGAAATGAGTTGCTAGATCTCACTGCAGCTCTGAAGGAACAGGACAAACATCTGCCTGCAAAGCATTACTCATTAAAAGCTGAGAAGCCAGAAGATGACCTGGTTAGCTGTGTCAGCCTTTCATATGTGATCCTTTAATCTGCAAAACACACAGCCAGAGTAAGTGTGATGGAGTAGTTGTGGCTCAGCTTAGGGAATTTGGGGATCAGGTATCAGCTCCAGCTTCCTGCTGGGCTCCACACAGGATCCCTGTCTGATCCAGCCCACTCCAGCAGGCAGATGCCACCAGTGCTCTCTGTGGCCACCTCTTTCCTACAGAAATTTTCATTTACAAGCCACAAACCCATCTAAGCTGGAAAAGAGAGCCCTCCTCAACTGCAGAATTTAGGTACTAAATGGATTAGGTAATAAATTACTGCTAGTAGCAGCATTTCAGATTTGGTCCCCAAC